TAAACTCTGAATAATAAAATTTGATAATTTGGGAACTGAAAATAAATAAAACTCCGTTACATAGCAGAACTATATGTTTAGTGATGAATGGTATTTACACAGATATATACACATTGGAAAAGATTACAAGTTAATCTTATTTAAGAAAACATTTTTTAATAAAATATTTCAGTTAAAAGAATTTTATTTTGTTGTACTTCAGCTCCTCCCATTCTTCTAATGGGTTTGACTTCAGGGAGAATACTGGGTTGGATAAAAAATAAGAAACGCATTTTTTTATTTTGAAAGTTTTGTTTATTTTCGTGACATTTTATAGTGCAGCTCAAATTGTTGTTTTTACATGTAACTACTTAGGTTTTATTGGGGAATATTCCCTTAATTACATATATGTCTTCGACAGTTAGAATAGGCCTAGTGCCCGAAAGTATGCTTTCGAAAAGAGACAGCTAAAATTAAAACGTTGTCACTGAGCGTTTTCAGCATTGCAGATCCAATCACGATCTCAAAAAAAAAATTCTTTAAAAATAAAAGAAATACGTGTCTCTTTTTTCTCACAAATAAAAATATTTTGATGTAGCATTTATGAATTTCCAAAGAGTGTTTTTTTTATTCATATATATACATTTTTTACAGACTAGAATCGAAGGAAGCGTTTAAATTCTCTGGACTTTGGATACGTTTAATATTTTAGTGCTTTCTAAGATTTTTTTTTGTATTTTGAATCAACTCTTTTCCTTTATTTCTTTTCTTCAATAACATAGCTATTTGCCCCCCTCTCTAGTGTTTCCCGCTAATATTTACAGCGCGAAGAATAATAGAGTTACTCAGTGACTTTTACATCGCGTTAAAACGTCTGTACTTAACAATCATCCACTTCGCACTTCCTCTCGAACAATTGGCCGGGTAAACGTTGCAAACCCTCGACTTTGGTGCAGCAATTGGATAGTGTATACTTTGCATTACGTCGTCTTTGGCGCCTTCTCGCGGTTTTCGCTGGCAATTAAATTGCCAAAAAGCACAGGGCGATCATATTAGGCATAAACGTAGAGGAAACAATTTCTGAGCAAAATTTATCTTGGTATCGGGTTTCGATACGAGTACTTATTTTTCAATACCTACTCAGTACTTCGTTCAATACTTTCTACCATGCAAGAAGCCTGACCTATGATCATCGGTTAAATAAGTGGGAAAACTGACTAAGGGCCGTTTGCACCATGTCTAGTTAACGCTAACTGGAGGTACATCCTTCAGTTAAGCACGTTAACTGCTTTATCGATCACATGTTATATGATGGGTGTCGATAACGTCGATAAAGATGTTTAACTGGGAGTTAGAATTAACTAGACATGGTGCAAACGGCCCTAAGGGCCGGTTGTTCAATGTCTGGTTATCACTACTTGCCGGTTAAACATCATTATCGACGTTTTCGACATCACGCATATAACATGTGATCGATAAAGCAGTCGTTGTATATAACCTGGAGAAAAATTGGAATTATTGGAAAAGGGGCGTGGCAATATTTCATACTGTATATCTCTGGAAATGTTCATGGTAGAGTAGAAATCAAGCGCATACTCATGAATAAAATTTCGGACTATTTGAAAATGGAGCGTGTCACCTCCCATATAAACCGAATTTTTCATAATAAGTATCTCTGGAAGTGTTTATGGTAGAGTACTGGAACTTTATACCAGCGGGGCACCTCCCATACAAGTCGAATTTTTCTTATTGCATATCTATAGAATTGTTCTTGGTAGAGTACTGGATCTTGGTGTGGAGATATATGAAATTGATCGCATAGTCATTAAGAAAATATGGAGCTATTGGAAAAGGGGGCGTGGCACCTACCATACAAGCCGGATTTCATACTGCATATCTCTGGAATTGTTAATGGTACAGTACTGAAACTTCGTATGGAGATATATGAAATCAATCCCATACTCATGGAGAAAAATGGGCTTTTTGAAAAGAGGGCATGGCAAAGTACAAACGTACTGACTTTTACTTATTTTTGAATGTGTATATAATTCTTCTGTAGGCATGTTGTGATATCCTAAACGGCTGGTGGGATTTTAACAAAGTTGTGTGTTTCAGTGGGTCTCTGGGTAGTTTAGTTTCGCAATTGTAACCGCCAGTTGGCGCTGGAGTTGAGTTATTACTAAAAATCCTTTTTATGATCCGATTTGGCGAATATTCAAAACATGTATTGAAAACGGTAAAGGCAGTCCAATTGCAAAAAAGAGCTGCCAGGTGGTGCTGAGGTCGAGTGAAGGCCAGACTAAATCGGCCTATTGAACCATTGAGTATATTGTGTGTTACTATTGGCCCAATGTATGTGATTTTCCAACATTATTATGCGTTAAAGCTTCGTTCGGAGACACCAGGGTTGAGTTGGGCAGTGTTTAATCCCAAATCACCACCTGTCGAAATACCTTAAAAGCCAGTTTCATTAAAGCAATTTAATGAAAATTTATTTTTTTACTTGAATTTAATATGGAACCTGACAGACAAAAATCATTTTTCAATTATTTGTTTTCATGAAACTGGCTTTTAAGGTATATCATCTGAAATAAGTCTGTGTATTTATATACGTTGAACAAGGATACGCATCCATTTTGAAAATGCCACCAACTATAAGATAAAGTTTCTAGGGCAAATTCACTATAGATCCGGATCATTGTTGCCGCCGTGGACCTTCTTCATGGACACGCTTTCGTTAGTTTATTTAAGGCGGGAAACGACCACCAAACCACAATCTTAGCCAATGAATTTGCCAATGGAAATCGTGGACTGTTGGAAAATGTTAGACCAAAACGATTAAATTAAAAATCTAATTATGGGCGGGACGAAGTTCGCCGGGTCGGCTAGTAATTAATAAATTAGTGAATAGATGGCAGCGAAATATAAAAAATACATGAAACCAAATTAAAAAATACAATACGTTTAGGTTATGTGTTTGTTTTATTTGTAAAAATATATTGTCGAATATTAACTTAATTTCGCAAGCTTTTTCAGAGCCACTGAGCTCAGACAATTCTTCTTATTTTTCATCGGGGTCTGAATTTTCGTCACTAAAAATATATGCCTCAGCGCCGCTTGGTCTTTCTACTTCCATTCTTAGGTTCTGCTGGAGTCCCACGTTGGCGTTGCACTGTATTTCAGCACTATAGTCACTGACTCCACAGTCGGCATAAGCGCACTGCCCTAAAATTTTTTCTTCTTTTTTGCTCATTTTTTTATATACAAATAGAATATACGGATTTTGATTAATTATTTCCTTAAATTCGCCGACTTCTTTATTTTGCACCACTGCTAACAATGATGTAAAATTTTTTTTTTGATGTATGTATGTATGTACCGTACTAGAAATGTGTGACAGAAACTAACACCTAAACATTTTCCGTACTAGCACATTTGCAAATTTTTCCAACATTTTAGCTTTGGTTAGAAAGTGAGCTTAAATCTGTAATTTTTTCAGTCCGAAAGTAGCTTGTGCGAGTGTGAAGCAGCTAATGGGCAACTAATACAGATTTGGCACAGTGCATTTGACACCAAAGAAGAAGAAGAAAAGAAAAAGATTTTTGCAAGCCGGGAAAGCGCGCGTGGGTTTTAAGAAAATTAAGTGCATTCGAAGCGGAATAGAAAGATAAGCAAAATGAGAAAAAGGCATTTTAATATTAAAATATATAATACAACAATGTTATAATAAGTTATGTACTTTTACATGTGTTTGTCAGGCGATATATTCGAGGAGTCCATTGAAGCCAGTTGGCCATAGAAAAACGGTAAGCAAAAACAAAAAAAAAATTAAATCAAGGTTGGACTCCAAAATATTTAAAATTGATTCATAAATCAAGTCTGGTTGTCTATTTAATATTTTCTTTTAGGAAATTATGGTAGCATTGAGGGAAATAATCAACGAACAGAAAATGCTAAACGCTCGCATTGTCAAACTGGAAGCAAATGTAAGTAACGTTTTTTGTGATCTGCTTATATATTAAGTCTATATTTTTCTTACATTTAAGCAAACGGCCTTACTTCGGAATCAGAGCGTTTTCAGCCAGGCGCAAGCTAATATTGTCAGCAATCAGGAGCAAATAGCAATTCGGCTGCAAAGCATGGCGCAAAGTGTTAGCATTTAGATATTTACTTTTATATATTATTATTTAGTAAAAAATATATATTTACTAGATTTTAGAAATACATAATTTACACGTGTATGTAATATACTACTAAAGTAAATGAATTTTTTTTTTTTTTTTGGACTTTGAGTTATATGGCGGTTGCCCAAACGCCAGGGTATCCCTCTTCTTTATAGTTGTACAGCAGAATGTTACACGAAGGTGTAACTTGAAAGAGCGTAGTGTGCGAAGTGGCACATAGTGAGCATGCTCCAATACTTCATTAAATTGATCGGCTGTTAACGACGGTGTAGATGATGCGAGCACAATGAAGAGCCTGTTACTTGATTAAACCAGAAGGTTACTAAAATTCCATGCGGTAAGATGATAGCGGACGTCACTTTCACAGCAAGATATCGACAAGGTTGATGGACTCTAATTTCGGATGTGGTGATTTGGCAGGCTTATGTCATGCGTGTGTTGTTTGTGGGCGATTTGTGATGGTGATGAGAATGAAGAATGTGGGGGATGGGATAGGGGGGGAAATGAGTGAGGTGGACGGTATTACCACCTGTGATAAGTTTGATTATTTGATATTAAGCTTATAAATTAAAATTTAGCGTAAATTTTTGTTAAAAACTCCGCAAGCTGAGCGATTTTGCGATAGGTAAAGTCACGAAAAATCTCGGTGAAGTCGGCGTTGCTAAGGACGAGTTCGAAGCCCTCACGAGCCTCGGCCAGCAAGTTGCAGTGGAAGGTCTGATGAACGTAGTTATCAGTCGAGCCACATCTGCAAGTGTTGGTATTTATCGCGTTGATGCGATAAAGGTATTCATTATCGTAGGTGTATCCAGTGACGATTCGGTTCAATATTTTGATCTATTTTGGGTTAATTTTAAATTTGAAAAACCATGTCTTTTTTCGTTTCTGAGTGCAGATCTGTGCAAAGAGATTGTGCTTGTTGTTGGAGAAGGCAAGAAATTCTTCATACCATTTGTTGTGAATGGAGTTGCGTATGCTTGTTAAAGCCTCTTCGATTGTAAGCTTAGATTCTAGAGTGTTATCACAGTTAACGGCTGTTTTTGCTAAGGAGTCGGCGATCTCGTTACCCGAGATCCCGACATGACTAGGGGTCCAAATGATGGTCACGTTGTAAAAGTCCGCTTCTTGAATTAGTTTGTGGCATTCGGCAATCAGATGGTTTTTGGTCTTGTCTTTGGCTAGAAGTTTGCAAGCGGATAGACTGTCTGTAAATATTAGTATCTTGTTATAGTCGGTTTCTTTGGCAATTTGAAGAGCTTTAACAATAGCTGTTGATTCGCCATAAGTTGAAGACGCGCAGAAGTTTATTTTAAAAGTGTACTCACGTTTGTCCGTATAGTTATAGACACCGCACCCTGTGGAAAAAGGTTCAACAGAGGCGTCGGTGTAAAAAATGCAGAAGTTAGATTTCTTATAATCATTTAAAATAGATGTGTACGTAGCTTGGATGACCTCACTTGCTAGGTTGGACTTTTTGTCATTCAGTGTCTTAGTTATTACGTGTAGGTTCGGTGGTTGAGCTGATTCACCAACGATGTATAGGTCGTCAAAAATATGTTTAAATTCATTAAATACAGCACTGTAGCTGGAATCAACGTTGGGCGAGTTGTATATGAGCTCTCTAAAAGAATTATCAGAGGAAAGATTATTAATTAGTTCTTTAGCAGTGAGCCACTTAGCCCTTTCAGCCGGGGGTAGTTCATTCGCAAGGGCATAGATAAGAGGGATTGGAGTGGCTGGTGTGAGACCCAGACTCCTCCTTAAAAAGCTATTTTGGAAAGTTTGAATTTTTTTATTGACAGATTTCGAACAGTTCGATGTGGATGACCTACAGTATTCAATTTTACTCCTGACAACAGATTTATAATAGTTGAGTGCGACTTGGGGATGTAGTCCAGCTTTGAATGTAGTGATGCATTTGAAAAGATTGGCGTTTCTATAAAATTTTTGGATTGTGTCGGTGTAATGTTCTTGAACAGACAATGAAGCACTAATGTGCCTTCCAAGAAACTTGATGGTGTGTACCTGTTCAATTGTGCAGTTATGACATTGGACGTTGATTATCGTGCGCTTGCCTCTGCCTAAAAGCATCAACTTGGTTTTGTCCGCGTTGAAGGACAGATTGAGAGTGGAACATTGGGAGGCGAAGTCATTTAGTTTGCGACGTAAATTCGCAGTTGCCTGCTCAAGACTGTCATGGAATGACATGATCAGAAAATCATCCGCATACTGGTATATTTTAGTGTTTGAGTCCTGAATACTGTGAAGGTTCTTGGTGTATAGATTAAAAAGACATGGTGAGAGGCAACTACCTTGAGGAACACCATCGTGGATTTCTATGGTTTCTCTACCAAGTTGCAGTTTTCTAAATGAAAGGAAGTTGGTTATCCATTCAGTATATGCGTTGTGAATATCTGTTTGGACCATGATGTCCCTAAGCTTACTGATATTAACACAGTTGTACGCATTGCTGATGTCTGAGGAACATATGATTACTTTTTTGCCTTGTCGCTTAAGGACTGCGGCTTCATGTAATATATAGTTGACGCAGATTGTGGCTGATTTATGCGGTCTGTACGCAAAGGATCGTTTAGGAATTATGTCATTTTCCTCAAGGTGGTTGGATATTCTGTCCTTTATGTAAAGGTTGATACACTTAAGAAAGACTGAGATGAGGGCTATCGGTCGAAAGTTGCTGAAATCACTAAGGTCTTTATCTTTTTTAGGGATGGGTACTACTTTAATGGTGCGCCACTCTTTTGGGATCTGGTTTGTCAGGAAAACATCGTTTAATGCAGTTCGCAAGTTGTTAAGTGAGACATCTGGTAGAGCTTTTAACATTTTATATGTAACTAGGTCTACCCCTCCGGCTGAACTATTATTTTTGTAATGTATGTTCTTGTGCAGCTCGTCAAAGGTGATTGCTAGGGCGTGGGTGGGAGTTAGTTCTTTATCAATTGGTAAATGTGAGTTTTTTTATTATTATTATGTATTTATTACGGCCACGAGAGCCTAATTCAAGTATCATTAACAATTTGCTATCTTATAGCTAGGGTTTTACAATATTCATACAGTTTTTTCTTAAAAACTAAGATTTCATTACAGGTTTTTATATCCATAGGGAGTTCATTGAAACATTTGAGACCTTTATAGAAAATGTTTTGTTTATCTATTTCCGTTCTAAACAATGGCAGTTTAAAATTTTGTTTATTCCTTGTATTTACATTGTGTGTTTGCTCTACTAACAATACATTTTTACTAAGGTATTCAGGTACATTACCATGCTTTATATTATAAATTAACTTCATGGAGTGAAAGAAAATTTTTTGCTTAACACTTAGCCAGTTTAAACTGTTCAGCATATCAGCCGTTCTGGCATCACTACGTTTTTTAAGTATAAATCGCATACACCGGTTTTGAAGCTTTTGAAGCTTATCAATTTCACTATCTGATATTATGAATAATATCGATGGACAATATACAAAATGTGGCTCAATAATAGATTTATATATAAGTATTTTATATTTTTTATGTAGATATTTGGATGTTCTCTGCATAATCCCAATTTTTTTAGCTACTTTCGCAACGGTGTATTTTATGTGTTCCTCAAATTTAAGTTTATTATCAATTATAATACCTAAATATTTGATACTATCTACTCTTTGTATGCTTTCATTATTTATTTTCAATTCAACGTTGAGATCATTAAAGTTTCTTCTGGTTATAATCATATATTTTGTTTTGTTAATATTAAGTTTGAGTCTATTTCCGCACAGCCATGTATATAAATTATTTAGTGCCATTTGCATTTTCGATATAGCGACATTAATATTATTTTCACTTATCATAATTAATGCATCGTCGGCGAAGAGTCGAATTTCACATCCCTCGACGGCATTGACAATATCATTAATGTAAATTAGGAACAATATCGGTGCCAGAACCGACCCTTGTGGTAACCCTATGGGTACTTCCAATTCCTCCGATATCGCTGTATTTATCACAGTTCGTTGCCTTCTCTGCTTCAAGTAGCTGCTAAACCATTCTAGCTCCGTACCAGTTATACCAATTCGTTGCAGTTTTTTTAGTAATATGTCTCTATCCACCGTTTCAAATGCCCTTTTGAGGTCCAGGAATACCGAAACAACTACATTCTTATTATTTAGCTCTTCTTTCCAATCAGCTATCACCAAATTGAGGGCTGTCTCACACGAATGTTTTTCCCTAAAGCCCGATTGTTGTTGGACTAAAATTTTATTTTCTTCGAGGTACATCATCAGTTGATTCTTGACATGTACTTCTAATATTTTGGCATCACTTGGTAGGGTATTTATTGGTCTAAGCTCTTCTGGTTGTATTGTCTTTTTGACTTTTTTGACAGGTACCACTGTCGACGTTTTCCACCGTTCTGGTACAATACCACTTTCCACACTATCATTAATAATAAGTGCATAGAAGTACCCTAAATACTCTATAGAGTCTTTCAGTACTCCATCTGATAACAGTTTTCGTCCGCCAATTTTGTATTTAAACGTTTTTATAATATTTATAACTTCAGCGGTTGTTATATACGAAAATTTAAAACTACAGTTGGTTTGACTACTGTTCATTACTAGGTCAAAACAAGGTATGTTTCTATTTATTTCAATCACACTGTTTATGAAGAATAGGTTCAGTTTATTAGCCACTTCGGTATCATTCTCAACCAGTACACCATCTATTACAACTTTTTTGATACCATCGTTATCCTCTGCAAGACAAGCCGCCTGTTTGAGGTGCTTCCACATTTCTTTAGCGTTATTTTCACTCATTTTTACTTTATTTTCCATAAATTGAACTTTTTTTATTTTAATTAGTTTTTTGTACTTTTTATTTATACTTCTGTATTCATCCCACACTCCAGTCTGTATAGCATGTTTGTATATATTAAATTTATTTTTATTCATTTGTGCCAGTTCATGGTCATACCATTTATTCATCAGCTTTATATACACTTCTTTCTCGTAAGTCAAGCTTTCCATTGCTTGCACTATGTTGTTGTTTATAAGTTCCACTTTATCATCAATTTGCAAGTTATTATAGAAATTGAAATTGTACGATCTTAGTATGTTTTGTAAACTTTCACGACTGTATCTGTCCCAAGCAGTAATTTTCTTCACCATTCTCATTTTGAACGATTTCGACGTCTTGACACTGAAATGTATTGTTTCATGGTCAGAGATTTTGAAATCCATCAAATTTTTGCATTCTATTTCTTCCGAATTTGAATACAGTAAATCAATTTTAGTTTCAGTTGTATTTGTAATTCTTGTGTTAAACTCTACTTTTTTGGGACATTCCCATTACAGAAAATATCTCGGACAGTTTAGTACTATATGTAGAAGTGTAGTTCATATTTATATTAAAATCTCCCACTACTATATTATGGTTGCTTTTATCATATTTAGTAAGTAATATTTCTGTTAAATAATCCAAAAAATCTGCATCACTTGTGCTAGGCGAGTGATAAAGCACGCCAATTTGAAATTTTTTATCGACCTTTTTCATTTTTATTATTATGCACCATATATTTCGATTAACACTTGCATTATAAATTATATTGAAGTCAATTGTGCTATGCACATATATTATCACTCCTCCAGTGTGTCTGCTGTGTGAGTCACATCGAACCATTTTGTATGTTGCTATATCTAATTCACTATCTTCCACATTTTCCGTCGTACACGTCTCAGAGCATAGTATAATACTCGGCTTGTGTGCTGCCGCCAACACTTCTAATTCACCTTTGTTAGATATTATGCTGTTCACGTTTAGATATATGCAATTTAGAATGTTGTTTGTGTGCAGATTTTCCCTTCGTTTTCTTCCCCTTATCTCCGTTGGTTTTGCCTGTAACCTGCACATTTGTTGCTAATATCCTAGCCTTTGCTTTTTAGCATTTAAATGCTTCAAGTAGACCGGACATTGCCTACTCTTGCACTGATGATTGATATCTAGCCCTAGTTTGAGCTTTTCATTTGACTTTATACAGTTTATGCACTTGTTTATCGGTGGATTAACACATCCGGTGGATTTGTGGTTTCCCAAGCATTTGGCGCACACTTCATCGTCCTTGCACTCAGCAGCTTTGTGGTTGTACCCTTTACATTTAAAGCACGTTGTCACATCAACACCATCATAGACTTTACATCTTTCCCACCCTATATTCAGTTTATCACATTTCAGAGTGTTATTAAAACTTTCTTCATCCACCTCTATTATTGCATTATAATAACTATTATTTTTATTTTTCACATTATACCGCCTAATAATTTTAACTTCACCCTTTTCTAGACATTGGTTTTGCTTCTTTAAACACTCGATTAGTTCGTCATTACCCTTTTCAAGGCTCATGCCTGTTATAAACAATTTTGGTTTATAATCTCGCGGAATCTTTATTTCGTATCCATCACTAATCTTCGTATCCATAATTTCTTTGATTTTGTCTCTTTCATCCACATTAACACTCTCAATTATCATAACACCATTTTGACCAGTCTTAATGTCTGTAATTTTCAGCTCGTTAGGGTTAATTTTATTATTTAAATCCTGCTTTGTTTTTTCACTCGTTTGTTTGGTTCTTGGTTTCACAACAATAGGCGCACGTTTCTTAAATTCCGGCACGTCTCTACCAGCATTTTTATTCATATTTGTTTTCACCATATCTGCAAATGACGTTTGTTGTTGTGTTGCACTATCTTTTATTTCTTTCCCCAATGTTTTTATTTCCCCGCATAGCTTTTCATTTTCCTTCCCAGCTACATCAGCTGTGCTTTTCATTTGTTCCACTACCTCTCGCACTTTCTTTATTTCTGCTGCATTTCTTACATACATTTCCTGGTGCATTTTTAGGGTCGCTAATCGTTCATTATATTTCACCTCCATCGCATTCATTAGCTCTCTCAGTTCCCGCTGGTTCGTATTCAATGCTTCTTCAAATTCATTTTTGTACTCCTTCAAATACATACTGTTCTTGTTTACACTTTCTTGCATGTCTCGCACTACCATATCAACATTTTGTATATATGTAATGCACTCATCACAAATAAATTTCAACATTGGGTGCGTTCCTATTACCCCATACTGGAAGTTATCTAAGCCAGAGCATCTTGGTGCAGTGTGATATGCCTTCCCACACACACCCATACATCTGACACCTGTTTCCCCTCTTATTGGGACTTTACACTTCACACACTTGTCGTTATCTGACATTATGTCTTCACTTTTCGCACCGTGTTTTTGTGAGAGGGAACTTGGCTTTTGAGTAGGGCTAAGAAGTTCTTGTCGTTGTCGCTAGACCACTGCGAGTTGTTTGTGTTTTTAAAGTCGCCTCTTAGTGCTTTCACGAATTTCCATGCATTTCTAGTTGAGGGAGCAGCGTTCAGTTCGTCTATCTTATTTTCAGAGCTTTTCTTTTTTGCTATTTTAACTTTGTCTTTCCACTCTGCTTTGAGCTTGATCAGTTCTTCAAAATTTTCAGGTGATGGTACGGCTTTACACTTTTTAGACGCAATTTTAAGAAAGCGGAAGGCCTTGTCAAAAGACTCATCCCACCAAGCTTTCGGGGATCTGTTGGCACTGAGCGTATATGTGGCAGCCTCAATTTCTGTTCGGAACTGATTATGTATGTCGTTAAAGTTTGGATCAAAATTGGTTAGTTGTAGATTGGCAAATAGCTTTTTTTGGGATAGGAACCTGCGTCCCTGATGCGTGACAGCAGTGGACTCAATGAGAATGGGGAAATGGTGACTTCCTCCTAGCCTGATTGGGTCGACCTTCCAGACAAATTGAACGTTACTATTTGTAAATGACAAGTCAAGCACTGACCCATTAGGAGCCAGCGTGTCATTTTTGAATGTCGACGAACCGTCATTTAAATGCCAGAAATTGTGTTCTAGAATAATTTTATGCAGGTTATTTCCTCGACAAGATTGGATGTGGTCACCCCATGCTCTCGCCCTAGCGTTGAAATCTCCCAGAATAAGAACATTGCTAAACTGCTCAAGGTAAGTAAGGAGTCTCTGAACTTCGCTCTTAAAGTCATTTATTAGGATGTTCTGTGGAAAGTAAACTGCACAGATAATTAGGTTTGGATTAAGGTTTTTGGTTTTGATGATCAGTATGTCAAAGTTAGATGAGAAATTTAATTTTTGAAATGTAATTTGTTTTTTAACGACTATGGCGACGCCGCCATATCCATCTTCTCGGTTTTTTTCGATAATGTTGTAGTTGATAATGTTTCTGTGTTGTTGCTCGCTGGAGGTGAATATTTCACTGAGACATGCTATGTCACAGTTATAATGATTTAAATAGAATTCAAAGCTGTTGATGTTAGCTTTTAGTGATTGACAGTTATATTGGCAAATTTTCATATGTTATATTTGAGGGGGGATGTCTGTACCCATACTGATCATGTCAACCTCGTTTTGTATCGAATTACGCTCAAATTGTTGCTTTAGGGCTAGAACCTTCCCTAGGACTCCTTGCATGTGCTCATTGGCGCATGCACTGTTAATTACCTTGAACAATTCTGACAAGAGTTTTTCCATTTCAGTTACCCGTCCTTTCAAGTATTCTGGCTTTTCTAGCACAGAATCTCTGGGTGGTCTTACCCTACTTTCCCTAGTGGCAGGCCGCATTGGGACTGCTTTGTACTTTCTAGGACTGCGGCTGCGTGCCACAGAGCTATACTTGTGCCTAGTAAGTTTTTTGTTAACGTTAATGTCTCTGTTTTGGATGTTTTCGTTTTCAGACGGGAGTGGCGGAAAGTCTGAATCCTCCACTTCGAGAAGTTCGAAACGATTTTCACTGGCCGCAAAGTAAGTTTTGATTGTTTCGCGTCTAGATATGTTTTTAACAGTTCTAATGTGGTTAATGGTGCGCTCCTTTTCCCAAGCCGCGCAAGTGAGCTTATCTGTGGAGACATGGTCTGAGCTTCCGCATAAAATACACTTTTTTTTGCAAGAATTATCGTCACATGTGGTGAGACCACACTTAATGCAACGTTTCTTAGATTTGCAGGCATGTTGTGTATGACCCAATCTGCCACAGTTGAGACATTGCCTTAGCGGGGAAATGTAAAAGTCAATATATAATTTGGTATAATCGAAGATTATGAATTTTGGGATTTCTTTACCCGAGAAGCCGATTTTTATGGTCGTTGTTGGAACGTATGAGTCACTGTCCTGGCTTTTGCGCGTGAAGCGCCTCACTGTGGCGATGGGGACGGTAGAGATGGCATTAGCCTTTATCTCTGCCTCCTGATACCAAGTCGGAATGCCCCTCACTATTCCGTACGTCTCAACTGCAGTCTTGGGTACAAACGCACTTAAACCCAGAGATTTGACTTTGTCATTAAGTACAAAGTTATTAGCTGACGCTGCATTTTTGAAAGTTATTTTGTAGAGGCTTTTGCCAATGGCATAAATTAAATCAATGTCTTTGATCCTGAAGACTTTGATTTTGTCAGAAAGAGTTAAACCGTTAGTGATTCTTTCGTTATTCATGTCACCACATTGTGACGAGTCAACTAATACGAGATACACACCAGAAAAGTTTGCTGGGTACAGTGTCGTGTCATTATTGGTATTTGTGCTAACGCTGTTCGCCACCACTGTGTCTACTTGCGGTCCGTTAGTCAACTCCAATAGCGGGCTATCGGCATTCGTACCTGTCCCGTTATCTAGTTGCACATCTACACTCATTTCACTTATTTCGCTAGATTTTTCGTCCCTAACCTCACTGATTACACCTGAGTCAAAATTGACTTTGCACAGCTCTTGGGATTTTAACATTTTTTTAATTAAATGGGGTTCCGCACTCTTTCTAGGCCGTTTGCTCGTGGCCAAATTGGCACCCGCAAAGGCTTCGAACTCGTCAGCCGATGACGCCCTCGACGACGAGGACGCCATAGCGGCTTTGGTGTTTTTTGCTGCCGTACGCGGCAGGCTTACTTTTAATTAAAAACCAACGCACAGGGATAGTACACCAAAAAATGTCACAACTTATAATAAAACTTGCAAAACCACTCACCTGCTATCCTTATCACGACAGGGAAGGTGTTCTTTAAAATCCAAAGTTGACCGAAAGGCGGTCTCAAACGGAGAAGCAAACGATCAAATAAAATTTGCTGTCGTATTTGCTTGTATGTTCACTACAAAAATAAAAAGTTTTAGGTACAGCACATTCACATGTGCAAATGCGCAAAAAAAGTTGATCCTCAAAATAAATATGTGTATGCGCCAAAACACGTCCACCGTCACTCGCTGATCAAAAAGGAATGTGAAGTAAATGAATTTTAATTAAATTTATTTCAATAAGGTTCAAATGTGATGTTTGAACTTGAATCAACAGTGGTAGGTATGAACATCAGGTGTGATTCCTCAATTTTGATAGGTTTATGCATCAATTATGATGGCTCAACTGTGACAGGTTCCAACATCAGGATTGACTAGTCAACTGTGGTCGGTATTAACATCATTGTTGACAAGTAATTAGTCTGTTCCTTTGAACTTCGGACTAAAACCTGTGGAACTGTCAAACTACAATTATACTCTCTCAAGTGAGAGTAAAAGAAGAACAGATTCAGAAGTGCATGGGAACGCAAAAAGCACTATTTTCCGTAAAATCGTCAGTCGGTTTGTTTACATGGATTGGTACAACACTGATTTGGCTGAAATATCACTAAATAATTATTAAAATCTATACATATTCAAACATTTCGTTGTTTAATTCCATTTTTTTACAAATATAAAGTTCTTTGCTTTCACCGCTTTTTGTTTTTGCTTGCACATGCAAATCAGCTGATCGTTTGACACTTTTCATGAACTTACAGGAAAAAAAACTCCGGACTAAATCCTGTAACATCTGACTAGGAACAGTTGCTCAGTTACTCTCTCAAAAGTGTTCCCACTTACAGGTTTTATGTCAATAGGAACGACTTCCTGTAAGTTCTGACTAAATCCTGGAACAGACTAATGATTAATCAAATGACTATCACTGTTCTTGTACGGTACATATTTACGCGAGCCTACAATCGATAGTTTGTTTCCGATATGGTCATCCGTTTTATAGCAGTGTATACAAAAATTAATTGGTATCAAACGAAAAGTATCGAGTATGTACTTATATTTACTCTTATCGTTTCATTCTTAACTACTTGTTATTTTTCTAATGGTATTTCTGGGATCAGTTGTGAAAAGTTTCCACAAAATCTCTGAGATGAAGTTGAAATATCCTATAACACGCCGTGATAATTCGTATGTCGATTATTTTCACGGTGTTACAGTTGAGGACGCTTATCGGTGGCTAGAAGACCCTAGCTCATCTGAAACGAAGAATTTCATTGATGAGCAGAATATAATTAGTAAAACTTTTATTGAGGAAGGAGAGGATAGATCCCGTATTGAAAAAAAGTTAACTAAATTGTGGAATTATACCAAGTATAGCTGTCCTACAAAACATGGGGCGTATTATTATTTTTACATGAATTCGGGGTTGCAAAATCAGAAGTAATAATAGGTTGAGTTATTAATTTGTTCTCTTACTAAGACTTGCAATTAGTGTTTTGTACCAACAGAAACGACTCGAGGATCAACCTATCGTTTTCTTAGATCCTAACACCTGGTCTGAAGATGGAACTATTGCTTTAACTCAAAAATCTTTCTCTGAAGATGGCAACTACATGGCGTACGGAATAAGTGAAAATGGATCTGACTGGCTAAAAATTAAAATACGCGATGTTAATTCGGGGTTGGACTTTGAGGAGTCTTTAGAAAAAGTAAAGTTTAGCGCAATTTCCTGGACCATTGATAATAAGGGATTTTTTTACTCCGTGCGTTGCGTTCGTTTAAGTTGTTTATGTAACTAAATATTTCTTCTAATATTTCAGCAATATGTTGAAAATGAAAACTCTATCGGCGCAGAATTTAAACGAAATGAGAATCAAAAGCTATATTATCACAATATTGGAAAAAACCAAAGTGAAGATATCTTGGTTGCAGAATTCCCCGAAGAACCATCTTGGCGCATGTAAGTTGCCATTTACAGGTCTATCCTGCACGTTACCGAAGATTTTGTAACCGGAAATTTTTATTACCAAAAAATGTTGCCAGTTCTTGTCACCGCGATTCTAGGAACGTTGGTAATGCAGTTTAAATATTCAGCAATTCAGCTGTGAAGAATTGTGCAAATTCTGGCATTGCATATTTCACGGGGCAATACTTTGTTACCAGCTTATGAGATGTAACAAAATTTACCGGTTACAAGAGTACACAGAATGCGAAAAGGGTTTAAAAATTGACAGGAACTTTATTTACCGGTTACAAACTTTTTATTACCAGCGCAGAATAGACCTGTTACAAGTCTATTCTGCACGTTACCGAAGATTTTGTGACCAGAAAATTTTATTACCGTAAAATGTTACCACTTGTCACTGCGATTCTAGGTACGTTGGTAATGCAGTGAAAATATTCAGCAACACAGCTATGAAGATTTTTGGAAATTCCTGTATTGCATATTTCACGGGGCAATATTTTGTTACCAGCTTGTGAGATCGGTAACAAGAGAGCACAGAATGCGAAAAAGGTTTAAAAATTGACAGACACTTTAATTACCGGTTATAAAATTTATGTTACCATCGCAGAATAGACCTGTTATAGTAAAAACATTACGTTCGCTTAGTTCGCAAACGTTCCAAGTCCACTTTTTATGGAAATTGAGGTTTCATGCAGTAAGATAGCACACCTCAAAATCAACATCACATAAAAAGTTACCGTTATGTCGTTCTGACTTGTTATGCAGTGGTATGCAAAAAAAGTCAAAAAAAAAAAATCAAGAAAAAAATATAAATACGTCTGGCTGTGTGCACAATAACTCGAGATATCTCGGGAGATGTTTAGCTATTTGTACACCGATTTAGGGGTGGGGTAGAGGGGTAAGGGGGCGTGGGCCCCGCAAACCCCCCTTAACGAAAGAGGATTGGCGCCGCTTTATGAAAAGTCACCGGGCGGGCGTAGAGCCCAACCCCGGACCAGAAACGTATTTCTGCTGTGTTTGCCAGAATCGACTCTATCCAAACTCCACTTCGGTTAGGTGCAACTCATGCAACGGATGGAGTCACCTAAGAACCTGCTCTGGTCTTAGGTCTCACCGGGAGTGGACCACAAGCTATGTGGCTCCCTGCTGCTCAAGCCAAACGGCACAATCAGCCTCCACGGCTACCCGCTCGCGCAACGCACACAACACCCGAAGAGCCTGCACGGCTCCGCCGCCTACAATAAGCTCCGTAAAGATCGCGAGCGAGATAATGGTGGCGGATGAGTGTTCATCTTACAACACACAGTGCAGTATCGGCTTATCGCAGAAGACATCGACCCGAGGGACACCACCCTAGAATGTAAGCGCATAGCTGTCCGGTCAGGCGATGTCGAGCTCGAAATATTCAACGTTTATATACCCCCTGTCACCTGCTGCCCGGCAGGATATCACCCTGACATAGGTGCGCTACTCAGAGGTGAAAACCGAATGGTAGTAGGTGACTTCAACGCGCACCACGATCTATGGCACTCAAGCCAAGGACTGTCACTCCAGCAACACTCCCCAAAAAGTCTTTGGGGAATTTGTATGCTGCTACAACAACAACCATCTACCCATAGTCATCTCGATCAATAAGCCCACCGACTTTGCTCCCGCGGACCACCGAACCTACACCAACTTCAACAAAGCTGATTGGGACGGCTTCGCGGAAGTCACCGAGAGCATCTTCGCCGCCCTTCCCACACCGACAAACACACACTGGCGAACGAAAGTTCCGCAGGGTAGCCACTGCCGCAGCGGCTCGCTTTATCCCGTCCGGACGCATCGCGGAAGTCCGCCCAAATTTCCCGGCCGAAGCAGCTGTACCAGCAAATGAGTGTGACCACCCACGCCAGGTCGACCCCGGGGCCCCCGTCTGAGGGACCTTAATTTGGAGATTCGCAAACTGGTAAATCAGCATAAGCGGAAAAAGTGGGAGGAGCACTTGAAGGCCTGTAACTTCACATCTGGTGTGAGTAAGCTCTGGTCAACCGTGAGGTCCCCTGTCCAACCCAACGAAGCGTGATGACAGAGTGGAAATCTCTTTCGAAGGTCGCGCTTCGTCGGACCCGAAGAAATGCGTAGCCTACTTTAGTAGGCAATTCACACTGCACCCTTCGGTAGACAAGGCCAAACGTCGAGTGACCATGAGGCTGCACAAGCTGCCAAAAAACAGTGCACCACTTGTTTTCACCAGCTGTGAAGTGAAGGGGGCCATCGGGAAGGCGAAGCCTCCAAAGCCATTGGACCTGACGGAATCTGTATGCTGATGCTAAAACATTTAGGGCCTAAGGGAGTAGCTTGCCTAACGGAGGTCCTCAACCTGTCCATGGCCACTCTCATCATTCCTGATGTGTGGAAATTAGGGAGAGTGGTCCCACTGCTGAAACCGGGGAAGCCCGCCAACAAAGGAGACTCTTATCGCCCGATAACGCTCCTTTCCCCGGTCGCGAAGACGCTTGAGGCCCTACTACTCCCATACTTCACTTGCCACCTGACCCCAGCTAAGCACCAGCACGGATTCCGTAAAGTGCACAGCAGAACAACAGCACTTAACGCCATAAACACACAAATAACTCGTGGCCTAAATCGAAACCGCCCCTGTGAGAGAACGGTCCTAGTAGCGCTGGATTTGTCAATGGCGTTTGACACCGTCTGCCATTCCACGCTACTAGAAGGCATCGAGGCCTCCCCACTCCCACAGGGACTGAAGCGATGGTCGGCGAATTATATGAGTGGTCGACAGTCGTCAGTAATCTTCCGAGATCAAACCTCGAAACCAAGAAGGATTAAACAAGGGGTTATGCAAGGTGGTGTTCTCTCCCCCTTACTATTTAACTTCTACATCTCGAAGCTTCCTCAACCACCTGAGGGAGTTTCCCTGATCTCATACGCTGACGATTGCTCGATTTTGGCGTCCGGGAATGGAATTGATGACTTCTGCTCAAAAGTGAACGACTATCTCTCCAGCCTTTCTCGCTTCTTCACTGCAAGGAGCCTAACACTCTCCCCAACGAAATCATCGGCGACCCTTTTCACCACCTGGACGAAGGAGGTCAGGCTAGAGTTAGGTATACACGTCGATGGCACACCAATATCGACTGTAAACAACCCGAAAATCTTAGGGGTCACCTTCGATAGCCTGCTTTCCTACTCCGCGCACACAACCGCAATTGTCAATAAAGTACAGAGCCGCAACAAGGTCCTCAAGTCGCTCGCCGGAAGCACTTGGGCAAAGACAAAGAAACGTTGCTGGCAACATACAAGGCAATTGGGCGGCCGGTTCTAAACTATGCTGCGCCGGATTGGACGCCGGGGACTAGTTGGACGCAGTGGACGAAGCTATAGACTTGTCAGAACGCCGCACTCCGGACCGCGACTGGGGGACCTTCTGATGACGCCTGAGCACCACCTGCACAGCGAGGCCCAAGTGCTCCCCGTAAGGGAACACAACAAAATGCTCTGTAAGCAATTTCTGGTGGGGTGTCACAGAAGTGAACACCCTAACAGACCACTGCTGGAGGAGGAGCCTCCGCCCAGGCACGTCAGGGGGCACCTATTCGTGTACAAGGACGCAGTCCAGACCTACACAGACCAACCACTGGACCCAATGACGTACAGACAAGCGATTAACGACATTCATAGGGAGTCAGTCTCCACCTACCTCGACTCCAGGCCTAAGAATGTCGTTATCGGAGCCCAATCACCACGTTGTGGAAGAGACGGAGCTTCAATTACCTAGAGAGACCCGCGTTACTCTGGCTCAGTTACGGTCTGGATATTGTAGCCGCCTAAACAGCTACCTGTCCAGACTCGACCCAAACATCCCAAATGAGTGCCCGGCATGTGGAGACTCCCCCCACGACACCAACCACCTGTTCACATGCCAGCTCAATCCGACTCAACTAACACCCCTATCCCTTTGGTCCGACCCCATCGAAACAGCTCGTTTCCTGGGCCTACCGTTAGTTGAGCTCGACGATAATAATTAAAAAGTTGACCCGAAACAGGCGGGGCTTAGTAGTGCCGCTACAACAACAACAACAACAACCCGCGTTACCCTGGCTCAATTACGGTCTGGATACTGTAGCCGCCTTAACAGCTACCTGTCCAGACCCGACCCCAATATCCCCAATGAGTGCCCGGCATGTGGAGAGTCCCCCCACGACACCAACCACCTCTTTACATGCCAACTCAATCCGACTCAACTAACACCCCTCTCCCTCTGGTCCGAACCCATCGAAACAGCTCGTTTCCTGGGCCTCCCGTTAGTTGAGCTTGACGACAATGATTGAACGTAGACCCGAAAAAGGCGCCCAGTGATGTAACCTTGGGTAAGGAGGAGGTAACTAGAATTCCCTTTCTGTGTGGTAAACCTGGGGCTGCCGCCCAGTGTTGTCTATTTCGGTTACTGGGTGTTTTATAAAATTATCTTGTATATAAAAATGTATATACAAATTTATAACAAAAATTTGCAACAAATACCATATTTCCAACCGACATTATTGTTAAATTTGTGCACAGATTTAATAAATTAAATTTTTGTAATAAAGCGTGAACTGTTGTCTACAAGTGTGTGTAAAAGTTTTTTGATTCGATTCACGCGTTTGGGCACAGCAACCCAAAATCGTTGTACAAATTCATAAACAGTACCCGATATCTCACCTACTTTTATCCAAGGTAGCTTGTTATTGAAAATGGGCGAAATTGGAATGTAACCACGCCCACTTCCCATATAAAGGTACTTAGAAAATTGCCAGGTACGATATTTCAGTAAATATTGGATGCAAATTGTAAATATTGATTGCAAGTATTATAATGATATTTTTGATGATGAAGTGCTGTATCTCAGAAGCCCATTCAACAACCTTTACCAAGCTCGGTACGAGCCTTGCTTAGTGCCTAGCTAAGAAATCTGTTGAAAATTTTTAAAATCGGGCAATGACTACGCGCATCTACCATATAACGATAGTTTATAGAAACACAAAAACAGATAAATCAGTAACTACTAAAGATTCCCACGACAGCCGGTTCTACGTACCGGAATGA